AAAAAAAAAATCTGAGAAGTCAGAGACAAGGCATAAAAATAGGAAGAGCAAAATATCACAGACTGAGAACTGTAAAAAGGAAAAACTAAGAGAAGATCACTCTTCCAGTGTCTGCTTTGTATCAGTAATTCCACAAGTTCTGATACATTCAAAGCCCCCTAGAAAAACCTCTGCTTAATTAAAGGTTATTTAGTTAGTACCAATAGTACTTTAGCCCTGACTGTAATTCTTAGAGTTTTATCTCTTCCACAGGAGGGCCATAGGGCATTTCCTTCTGAAACAGGTACCAAGAGAACTGCTTTCTATCTACAGCCTTTATCAAACACAAAGGTATGACTTGGCAAAGAACAAGAGTCAATAGTGTGTGTCCGAATTTCTAAGATCACTAAATATTGACAGATAATCTGTTGGTACTCAGTTGGCCAAGGGGTTCAGGAAGTGGGGGATTAAATACAGAATGATTCAGGGGTTTACTCAGTTCAAGATTACCCTCTCAGACCCTCTGATCCTCCTCATCCTCTAACTTCTGACCCCATTACCACAGAAAGTGGCCACATCATTTGTACAAAACTTTTAAATAGTAGTAGAGGAATGGCTCCCTTTCTTAATACCTGAAAAGATGCTGATGTAATCTGTAGTCCCTCTTGCTGCAACTGGTTCTGCATCGTAATCTTCTTCTCCTTGGTGATGGAGGCAATAGGAAAACTCCGCACAACTGTCTGCTCACCAACTACAGGAAAGCAGGACACACACTCAGCAACAGCACTTTACTGCTTATTTATAGAGTTTCTGCTTCCCATTTTATCAGTCTCTGCTAATGAAATGTATTAGGAGAGGACAATGCCCAGGAATGCAGTGAGAGAAAATGCCATGATTCTAGAATCACATTCATTGATTTTATTGCATGACAATTCACTCCTGAGACATGATCCTTTCCTGGAGCGAATGAACCATCACAATCTGCCTACCTTCATTTTTTCTATTTCCCCAACCTGCTGTGTGCCACACCAGATCACCTGGCTTAAGGCAATCTTAAAGATTCTTAATCTTAACGGCATCCATGATATTTAATGTAAGTATAAAGCAAAAGAGAAAAGATTTTTTTTTTAAGATTTTATTTATTTATTTCAGAGAGAGAGACAAAATGAGAGAGGGAACACAAGCAGGGGGAGTGGGAGAGGGAGAAGCAGGCTTCCTGCTGAGCAGGGAGCCCGATTTGGGGCTCAAACCCAGGACCCTGGGATCATGACCTGAGCCGAAGGCAGACGCTTAACGACTGAGCCACCCAGGCGCCCCGAGAAAAGATTTTTAAAATGTGTTTCCATACGTGGTAAAAGGTGCTGTACCTTGTATTTGTGCCTTCATGGAAGATACAGGACTAAGCTTAGGCTGAAGAGTTTTAGGAATTTAAATACTAAAGCAAATAAGGGAAAATATAATTATTTATCAACTACTAGAGGTTGCGAAGATGCAAGTCTAGAAAATAAGTAGCACATGCAAAGCCTCTCTTGGAGAGTTCAAAGGTCCCCCTGGGAGAGAAGAGTCACATGCCGAATATAACATGTCATTAGGTCCTTGGTTTGAGGGACAGGACTTTAAATATTTCAGAAAGGGAGAAGATTTCTGCATGCTAGATGACTTGAGAATGATTCCTGGAGGAAAGGAGAGGGAAGGTGAGCGTTGAAGAGAACATAGGCTTGGATTTGCAGAGGGAAAGAGGAGGGAATTTCAGGCAGTGGTACAAGTGAAAGAACAGGAGCAGCAATGGGCAAGGCCCCTTGGCTAGTAAGCCGGAGGGGTGAGAACTGAACTAGGTTTATGAGTTCATACGTACATCCACTTATCATCATCAGAATTTCTCATTCCTTGGATCTGTCAACTCCTAACCTGGAAAATTCTGATTATCCTCTTATGTTGAGCTCATATCCAGAGGCTAAACAAAATTAGGATGTATACGGAATTTAAGTCCTAGGATGTATTAAACAACCTACGCTTATATACCACATATAAAATTATCAGATTCCTGTGTGTCATTAAAGGAGATATTTTGAATTAGAAATTTAAAAAGAGAAATAAAATAAAAGAGGCAGTAAGAAGGCTTTCTCTGATAAAAATAAATTCCCTAAAATACAAAATTGACCCAAAAATTGACAGGAAAAAACAAGAGAACAATATAAGCCGTCACACTAAGTATGGTTTTGATTTTTTAAAAAGAAATAAATTGGAACAACTTAAGTGACCAAGTATCTCATATATTTATATCCCCAGAATGTATGTTTGTGGCCACTGAGCTCCCAAGTCACAGTACAAAAGAAATGATAAATACTGGATATTTAGTTTCTTTTAAAATTACATTTGCTTTCAAATACAAATATAATTTACGTATGGTGATATGACAGGAGAGGGCTGAAAAATTCTGCTCCATTTTCACTCTTTTTCAATGAATACAACTATTACTATAGATTCATTTTGTTTATTGAATTTTATGAGCTTTTTGTTATTATATGGTAAGCACTCTTTTATGAATAAGACAATAAACCATCTTGATCCTATCCAAGCATCTAAAGTCCACTGTCTAACAAAATGTGCAGCACATATAGCACATCTCATCAAATGTTACTGAATGAATAATTGCAGATGAGGAAGGAACTTTAGTGACCATTTATCCTAATGGTTCTCAATCCTTAGTATGCATCATAATCACTTCTGGGGCTTAAAAATGCACAGATGCCTGGGTCCTAGAATCCTATTCCAGGTATTAATTCAACTGTGTGAGGGTTGGGCCCAGATTGGTAGGTTTCTTTTTAAAGCTTCCCAGATAATTCAAATATGCAGTCAAGGTTGAGAACCACTGAATTATCACCAAACAAGCCCAATTCCCTAATTTTATAAAAGGGGAAACTGAAACTCAGAGAGAGGTCAGGGGCCTTAAGATATCAAGATTGGTCAACAGCAATCTAAATCTGAGCTTCTTATTTGGAGAGCAACAGTTCTAGCCCAAATCTTATATCTTTTCCGATCAACCAAAAGAGTTTAGAAAGAGATTACAGTGATTTAAAAAAGATAATTCAGACTTGATAGGGCATGCTACTCCTTCTAATATGGAAGACTGCATAGAGTAGTAGAAAATAGAAATAGAAGTTGAGGGAGTTTAGTGAATGGAAGTTGCCTGCCAAGAGGGAAAGGGGGTTAGTTGAAATGTGACGAGAGGAAGTGGGGTTAGTTAGTGTTGTACAACCTTGTGATGTTTAGCATATCCTTCCACAAAAGGAATCATGTATCTGGAAGACATGAGCCTTACAGTTAACTACAGGACTCAGAAAGGTGGGACAAATCAGCAGGAGACATTGTTAGCAGCTATATACTATGAATATCCCTAAGTCACAATATACTGCCTCATGAAATTATGACTGTTTCAGTGAATGAACCCTTGATTTACTGTTTAGAAGATACCCTTGGTTCTTTAAATAAGACTCTAAAATCCAAATTACCATTAGCTTTGACAGACAAAGGATTCTAAAAAATAGTTCGTGACAAAAGGCTTACTTTGAATCAGAAATGATCTGTAAATTACTGCACACAAATGGAATCAAAACCTCAAGTAGCAAGCCCATGGATATCCATATTCTGATGGCGTAATAGGAGTCATACCTAGCTGATCATGGGGAGTCCCCCTGAAAAGAATTCTATATGTGGTGAGGAACAAGGCTCCTTCTGCTGGCAGGAGCTGAGGGCCTCCAAGAAGGCCTCCAGTAGCTTCTTCTCTTCCATCAGGGTCTAGCAGGACTCGAAGACCTTCACAGACAATTTCTTCTCCTGGCAGTAGGGCAGGTCTAAGAATCTTGGGCTGACAACAGAGAAGGCATTTTAAACACGAATCTTGTGGGGTTTCCAACACTTAGACCAAAGTTATCTTTTCAGTTGCAGATCTAAAAAACCCGAGTCAGACTGCTTAAGTAGCCAAAATGAGAAAACAGATTTGGGAAGGGGCAGAAAGATGTTTTTGCATCCAAATGTGGAAAGATTCTTTGCTTATTAACAGTAAAAATCATTGGAAATTACAAAGACGTTTAAAATATCTATTCAGTGGAACATTTTGCAACCATTAAAAATAATGACCTAGATCTGTATGTGTTAACATAGAAAGATATCAAGGATACATTGTTAAGTAAAAACAGCAAGCTGTAAACCAGTATGTATATTATAATTCCCTCTTTTTGGAAAAAGAAAAAAATTGTGAGAATATGGACCAAACTGTTAAAGGTGGTACTATCATGGTTAAGGGCAGAGGTGAGGTGGGGTTGGAAAGACCATGGAGGACTTTCACTTTGTATAATGTGTATTTCTTTAATAGTTTGATTTTATACAAAGAGCATTGTTACTTCTGTAAACTTAAAAAACAAATAATTAGAAAAACAGTTGCATCTTTAAAAGGATCTGCCCTTCTTGGCCTTTATTGAAGATTAACACAATAAATGGCCATATGATGAACAATTACACATCTTGGGAAATACACAACCACATGATACACTCCTCTGAAGATACCAGTGCTAAAAGGAAAAAAAAAATCACCTCTCCTGAAGATCTAATATGCTTATTTTTTACTAAGCAATAAAAACTATATAAATCAGTACTATTCTTTTTGTCGGTTCTAGGAAGCTCAGAGCTAAATGTAAAGCCAAAATTGTAATGATCATGTCTCAGATTTCTCATAGAAATATCTTGCCTATCCATCTGGCTTCTGATTTTTCCTTTGAATTTATTTTTAATAGTTCTGTTATATAGGTAAGAGGGTCCTGACCCTAGTCCACAGATAGGTGCCAGACTAGGGGCAAAATAATCATCGGGGAGGCTTGTACTTGAAAGTTTAGATTCCCAGGCCAAAGTCTCAGGAAACTCCAATTCAGGAGGCTGGGGTGGGGTTCAGGACTCTCAATTTTTAATAGACTTCCCAGATTCCCAGATGCTTGTGATGTATGCTTATAATGTAAACAGATTCAGGAACCTGGTATTTTTATGGTAATTGCCTTAAGTCCTTTTTTTCTGGAAGTAGGCAGGGCATAAAATCTTGGCTTGGGCTTGGAAGTTAGAATGTTCATAATTTATGCCCTGCCTATAAAAACAGACTCAACAAGAGGCTATTATTGCTCCTTTGTTGAATCTACTATTCTACTTCAGTATCTGTTTTAGGAGGATCTACATGATAAACTCCTCTGAAAGTTTAATGTATCATTAAAACTGGAGTCTCTGTAAAAGGTTAGGAGTAGGTACTTTCTGGGGCACAAAAGTCTATTGTTGCTGTTTTTAAGAAGAGATGTTATACCCTGAAAGCATGTAGTCTGGAATAATTACCTTCTGTATAGGTGGAAGTCTTCTACTCTCTCGATGTACTGCTTCTAGGGTCTCAATGTGCATAGCTACAATTCCTAGGATAAGTCAGAGTATTCGAAATAAAAGAGTACAAAATAAGCAGAATTAATACAAATTCTGAATATTTTAGAATTAAAAACTAATCACAGTTTGGTGGTTCCTCAAAAAGTTAAACAAAAATTACCATATGACTAGCAATTCCACTCCCAGGTATATACCCAAAAGATCAAAAATAAGGACTCAAACAAATAATTGTATGTGAATATTCATAGTAGCCAGAAGGCAGAGACAACCCAGATGTCCATCAACAGTTGAATGGATAAACAAAATGTAGTATATCCATACAATGGAATAGTTTCGGCCATAAAAATGAATGGCATTCTGATACCTGCTACAACATGGAAGAACCTTGAAAACATAATGCTAACTGAAAGAAGCCCGACACAAAAGAACAAATACTGTATGAGCAAACTTATAGGCAATATCTAGAACAGGCAAGTTCACAGAGATACAGAGCTTACCAGGAACTACGGAGATGGAGAATGGGGAGTTATTGCTTAACAGTACAGAGTGTGTGTTTTGGTGATGAAAAAGTTTTTGGTAAAGGATAGTGGTGATGACTGCACAACACTGTGAATATGATTAACATCAGTGAATTTTACACTTAAAATAGTTTAAAGTGGCCAATTTTATGTTACATATATTTTACCATAGCTTAGAAATATTAAAAAAATTAATCAGAACATAAATAAACAGCATGACTAAACTACATGGAAGACAAGTATTAAAGGTGTAGGGGCGCCTGGGTGGCTCAGTTGTTAAGCGTCTGCCTTCGGTTCAGGTCATGATCTCAGGGTCCTGGGATCGAGCCCCACATCGGGCTCCCTGCTCCTCGGGAAGCCTGCTTCTCCCTCTCCCATTCCCCCTGCTTGTGTTCCCTCTCTCGCTGTGCCTCTCTCTGTCAAATAAACAAATAAAATCTTTAAAAAAAAAAAAAGTATTAAAGGTGTTATGCTGAAAAAAATAGACCCCTAAAAACAATTCTTACTCAATTATCTCCAATATTCTGGTTCTCTAATACCTGTAAATTGATTACCTGGTATCATGCAATGAAGGCTCTTGATGTGATCCTGAGTAACTCCACTCTCTGTGCAAACCTTGTCAATAAATCGGGTAATGAATCGCACAACAGAATTGGCGATGTCATTATTCTCTGAATCTTCAAACCCACTTTCTGTATCATAGCTTTCAGCTACACTTCCTGCAATACTGAGAAAATCAAGGAAAGAAATCATGGTTAGTACTCAGATGTAACAAATGACTATTCTATCATAGTCAATTTTGATAGAAATTTATATTTGTCCACATTATGATATCCTACTTGCCTACATCTGAAAGCTACTGTCGGGCATTGTCCTTTGGACCCAAATTTGTTTTTGTAAGAAATACTTCTGTCATTCTGCTAAATAGGAACTCAGGAACCACAGAAACTAAAGCAAAAATAGACTCTTTCATTTATTATCTGATACTTGAACCTTCTAAAAAAAAAAAACAAAACTGTTCTCTCAAGTTAATTACCACATAGAGTCAGACAAAGTAATATTGCTATCTTTGGCCTTTGACAACTGGGAGACATGTTCCCTGGTAGGCAAAGTAAAAGAACTTTTCCCAGAAAATTGCATATTCTTCCAAATGGAAGAACCAAACTGTCCTGTGAACCTTTCTGTTGCCAACATTTGTCTCTTTGAGTGAACCACAACACTCTGTCACTTTGAAGCCATCAATCTTCTGCAGGTGATAAAATCATGCAACAGAAGGGAATGAATTTGAAACAGTGGATGTGAAAGCTCAATCCTGTCCTTGCTGCTTATTCAGTTCCCACTGTTCAACAAGTACTCCTGCCTCCTATGCCTTCTTTTAGACTGCTAATCATGGAAAAGACTCATACGTCTGTTCTAACCCACTTAGTTCTCTTTCCTCCAAATCCAACCACATTCACTGAATCAGTTTTAAGGTAAAGCTAAACAGTGAATATGGCCTCACATCATCCCAAAGCATTAAAGAACTTGAGTGCCTTAGCCACTCAATAGGTATACTTTCAAGGAGCATGGTCATGTATAGTTTGAAGCGATGAAGGCCTAGGCTATATTGTTCACATAAAATAACTCTCTGAAGGAAGAAATAAGAGACCCATGCAGTTGACTGCATGGTGTAAAAGGCTGACTTCAAAACAACAAAAAGTTGTCTAGCCTGGAAGACTAGAAGCTCTTGGGTGTTCTTGACAAAAATGAAGTATCTGAGATAGGGAGATTGAAAGGTTGGGGTCAGAGATGTGGGCTTGTGGATGAGTTTCTAAGAGAGTATGAAGAGCAAGGAAGAGGGATTGAGAATGGGAGAGAAGAGAAACTGCCTGAAAGAGCCTGAGAAGGATTTACAAGAGTTAAAAGAACTACCAGCATGCTAGAGCATCACTGAAGACCTAAAAGGTTAGAATGTCACTACTGTTGGGTAAGCAGTTCATTCATTCATTCATTCATTTAATCATATGTGCAACCAAATATTTATTGGGCACATACTATATGCAAAGATCTGGGGGTACAGCAATGAATGAGGCATATGATAAACAAATATATGAAAATAAATCAGGTTGTAGAAAGTGTCATGAAAGAAAAAAAATGCAAGATAGGAGAAAGAGTGATGCCTGTGCCACTTAAGATACGGAAGTCAGGAAGGCCGCTCTAGGTAGATGGCATTTGAGCAGAGAATTAAATGAAGTGAGGGAGTGATTCTTGTAACTATTTCAGGGAGAGTATTCCAGATTGTGGGAACAAATACAAAGACGCTGAGGCAGTATTATGCTTAGAGTTTTTGAGGATTAGCATTAGAAGGGAGACCAGTGTTCTTGACAGAAGAATGACAGGAAATAAAGTCAGAGCAGCCGTCAGGAGCCAAATCCTCTCAGGTTTTGTAGTCCATGGGTTTATTCTCAGTGGTACTGGAACTCAGTGTCGGGTTGGGAGCAAGGCATGGTTGAGGACATGATTATAGACAAATTCAGTGCATACACTGAAAAAAGGAGGGCCGAGAAACAAATAATAACTTTGGCAAGAAGTTCATTAGTAATTTTCCAGAGTGCTTTCTGTAAATTGCTACGGCAGAAAGTAACTGAAGGGTTCGGTCAGTAGTGGGTGAGAAAGTTGAAAAATTGGGTCATGAAAGAAAAGAGACTGTGGGAGGTGGTTACGGATAGTCAGATGAAGTGAAGGTCTTTTAATATAGAAGAGTTGAAAAAAAGAGAGTTGAGCAAGTCTGAAGGTAAGGAAAATGCTTAAAATTTTGAAATATGTACAGCAGTATTTGCCCAAAATACTTTATTTTGTCTGCTAAGCCAAGAATAGGAGGGTCTCTGGATGTGCACATTTTGGTACCTGTTTGTGACAATGCTGTTGCTTCCACTCTCCCAGTCGCCTGGTGCTGATGTTCTCAGGAGCTTGTTTTTACTTGTATCCAGTGGGACCAGCAGGTTGACCATGAGGTTTGCAAAATGAATGGCCTGACTGAAGACAGTGCTTTCCTCACGTTGCACCAGCTCCTGCTGAGTTGATTTGCTCAGAGAAGGCCAAAGGCGTAGCTGCTCAGCTGCCAGGTCCATTGCTGTCTTCTCCTGATACTGGTCATCCGGAAGCTTATCCTAAAAAAATAAAGCAAAACAATGCAAATCCATGACACAAGCTTCAAAAACATTGAACACGTTTCAATTATCCATCTATTAAATACCTATGTCACCAAAAAAAGGAAATATATAAATGAAACGTAACAACAACAACAATAAAACAAAATCAACTCTTTTCTGCCAGCTTCAGCCAGCCTTAGTGGGACAATGTCATAAATCCAAGGAAGCGGCAGCAAAGCACAGATGGCTACACTTTCACTGCTAACATTTCACTGTGTTTATTTATCTCTATGGTCCCATCTCTTTCCAACTGCCAGTTAAACAAATTGTTGATGTGAAATATGTAAAAATGAATGAATGTCCAGTAGCATTTACTCATATTCTGATATGTTTCTTCTTCTCTTTGGGAGGAGGAGACAGAATGACGAAAGTCATAAAAAATAGAGCTAGATTTCCTAGTAAATGTGGGAATCAAATATTATCAGGACATAGGTATAACAATGGGATTTTATTTTATTTT